CTCTCTCTCTCTCTCTCTCTCTCTCTCTCTCTCGCTCGCTCGCTCGCTCGCTCGCATTAAAAATACATTTTACACAAGTATACAGTTTGAAGTCTAATTGCAAGTTTCGAAAAATGTAATACAAACTTTCATCGAAGCTCGCGATATGAGTGAAAATGATAAGTACGAAAGCATCACATAAATTCGGGTATACAAATAAAAAAATTGATTCCGTTTATTCGAAGTAAAAGCTATGCCTCATAATATTGCATATAAACTTTCCTATAAAAATGTATGTACATCCGTAAGTTACGCAAAATGTCATTCCGACTCGAAACTTTCGAATATACTCGTACTTCGAATAAGATTTGTATTAGAGACCTCCAAAGGTGGATAAATAAGCAATCGAGGAACATTATCGCGTTAGATACTGCGGAACGATCTAAAAACTATGCTTGTCCATCGAGATTACTTCGTTACTGCTGAAGAAAACGAGCCAAACGACCTGCGTCTCTACGAGGGCTATCGGCGAATCCGAGGCACCCTGTATATTCCCCATGGACACGAAGGAACCGAGGAAGATAGTTGGTGATCGATCAATCGATGGATTGAGAAGTGTGAGTGGCGTACGGGGTCCAAAGTTCCGCGCGGCTATGCGAAATGCATAGCGCGACTCGTCTAGCGAGCGTTTATGATCCAAATTGCGCGAGGCCCTAACGGTACCGCGAGGCACGCGATTATTGTTAGGATCAACTGCGCATTATCGTAAGGTGCTTTGCATTCTCGCGATGGAGCCGCGACGTTCGACGATTACCGATCCCCGTCGTGACCTCCCGCGGAAGATCGTGCCCCCCGCGCCACGAGGACAAAGGTGAAGCGAGGTGTGGAAATCATTAATCGAGCGTGAAGACATTTGGAATAGCGATGTGTCACACAGCGACCGATCTTCGCGTTTAACGAGCTCACGTCGCGCTTTTGTTCCGCGCGTTTAATCTTGTAAAAATGCAAGAGTAAACTGAAGAAATGCGTCGCACATATGAACTTTATAATGTACAACAGCGGACAAAATGGTTGCGACACTTCTTTTTCTTGATAATAATCCGAATCGTAGTAACGGCTGTCAATAAAACAACTATTAAGGTAGGGAGAAAGGGCCAATGCGAGCCAACCGCAGGTGTCCGTGTGAAATTATTAAAAAAAAATGTGGAATTTTTAAATCAATTTATAAAAAAATCCAAACGTTTCGACCCTTTCTCAGTACGGGAATTCTGTAACTTGTTATCGAGATTTTTCGGTAACGTTAACTAGGAACAGCCAATGAAAATCTGCGTCTTTCTCGAAGATCGTTCTCGCCATTGGCTGTCGCTAGTTAACGATACCGAAAGGCATCGATTACAAGTTAAAGAATTCCCGTACAGGTCATCCTCAGTAAAGCTGGGATCAAAAAATAATACATGGCCTTACAAAAACCTTAATGTAAAATTTTTGTATTTGCGAATAAGAACAGTAAATTTATTACCTGAATAGAACAAATAAGATACGGCGCTTAAAGGACTAATTTTTCTTAATAAGTTTGGGCACGTGCTTTTAGATTCAGGTTTACGTTCCGAAATATTTTCTCTGAGGAAACTTTTACTCGAGAAATTGATCGGAAACGCTCAAAACGGCTTCGGAATGTGACCATCGAATAAAATATTCCTCGGAGAAGAAGATTTTGGAACGTAAACCTGAATCTAAATGTACGTTCCTAAACTCACTAAAAAAAAATTGTCGCAACCATTCTGTCCATCACTGTACATTTAGTGCCATACTTGTAATGTTTTAAACTATTTATATATTTAAAAAAACTTTCAAATAGCATCGTACATGCGTTTTCGTCGTGTTTTAAATTAACTGTGGCATTGTACGTGTTTTTAAATAGACACCTAAAGCAATCATTTCGAGATTTTCATTAACTCATCTGTCGTATTAAATGCACTCACCGTAGAGGTACGCATTCTCGAAATTGAGACTGGATACCAGTGCCGCAAGATCTGGAACACTCGCTCCAAGAGCTCCACGTACCCCAAGTCCCTCTTATCCTGTTGTCATGGTTGATACCGAACAGCGTTCGTTCTTGTAACATGTGATACACCTGGAGAAATCAACAGTATTCCGTCAGTCGTGAATTTACGTTTCTTATTTTAATAATGACGATATAGCTGTACTTCATTCGTCGATTATTTTCCAAAATCTGGCTCACTCTTTGATATAAAATTTATACATTCGGATGGTTTTAACAAACATATTTCTAACAAGCATTTGTAGGCTTATTGAAATCTTGAAATCTTCACAGAAAAAAAGGAATATTCTTCTTTTGAAAATATGTTTTGTTTCAACGTGAAAATCTTGAAATGTGAGATTATATTGCGTTAAAAGAAGAAAAACTTACCCGAATGAAACAATTTTAGTATATTGATACTTCAATCAAGAAAAATGTATGCTTATTATTTAAGAATAATTGTCTTGAATGGATAGGAAACAATATTGGATAAAAAATAACATTTTCAAATCGAAGATTATAAAAATTAAAATGATTGTACTGTCAAAATACTTATATGACGATAGTATTTAAATAAGACTGTAATATTGTTGAAACGTAAGATTATAATCTTACTTACTTAATAATTATTAAATGCTTCTAAAAAGATTGCAGATTGTTGCATATATACAAAACAACGAACGCGTTAATTTGAGTACATGAGAGTTGATCCGACACTTATGTTTCTAAGCTTTTAGTTAGTCGCCTCTCTGATGCCACTCTTTAGAACAGATAACTGCGCGAAGAGAGAACTATTACAGTAAAAAAGAAAAAGAAGGAAGGAAAGAAAAGTATCGAGGCAGGTAACTGGATGGTAATTAAACGATGAGCCAGATAGTACGCGCGTCTGGTATTCTGCTCCTGTTAATCACACGCCGGCATCATAGAGTACAAACTGTTTGTTCGGTAATTAATATCGCCACCGCGAACGAGATTCCAATTAGATCGCCTGCGTTTCGGTATCGCGGACTCTTGTCGTGATTAATTAAAGGAAGGATCGATTACCGTATTGCACACACGGCGTTGAATTTACGGCGTTCGATCTATCTCCGCGCACCACGGGCTACCCGTTGCATTAACTTCTGCCGGAAGTTCTCCAAGGTAGCGTCGTTCTATCGGCAAGAGAGCCACGACGTTCTCACGTAAAGATTTCCCGCGCTTCATACTTCAGCGTCCGATCCTCCCTTCGATCGCGCGCGTCTAATTAATCAAACGCGCGAGTCCCGCATCTCCCTTACGCTCCTTTGCGCGCAACATCCCGAGTCTGGAATACAAATCGTCGATTTCGCCGAACCTGCCGCGAGACGAATAACAACCGTTAAATCTTGAGAGACCTTTCAAACGCGACTTTTGTTCTACCCCACGTCTGTCGGCTCTGCGCGTCGCTCAGGATCCGCCTCCACTCTTTAACGAACCGATAAAGATTTTAGAGCTTAGAACGGGCGAATTACGCAAATTTCGCTTCCGCGCGCCTCCGTTAACGGCGAATTTGGAATTCGAACCAAGAGCCCTTAGTTATTACTGTTTCCTTTTTGCAAGTCGTTAACCCTAAGAGCAGCAGACTAATACTTCCTTAATGCCTGGCATTAACTTCGGAACGTTAATCACAGCGCTTATGTACGGGCCCTGTGCAAAGAAGGAAAGACATACTTCGCGTTGGATATACATGAGGAGACGTTTACAGTACACGGAATAATGAGACCTCATCGAGAATAAATTCATGCGACAATACTTCACGGGGAGAAAGGAAGCGGATTTCGCGTACCTTCCAGTCGTCGCGTGGAGTCTCTAAAATATTCTTCGGGAATCAACATTAGACTGTTTATTGCGGTCAATATTGCCATATGCCTCGGTGGTCGAATTGGCTGAGACGCCCGTCTAGCGAGAAGGAGGTCCAGATTCCAGCCCTGGCTGAGGTGTTATTTTTTCGCAGTAAATTTAGAATAAAATATTTAGACACTAACACCCTGTCGCGGTTCTTGGTCCTTTATTCCTTCGGATTTGTGTTTATCAGATTTGAGCCATGCGAATTTGACTAATTCTTTAAAATATTACTTCCAAAAACAATCTTTTTTATATCGCATAAACCCGAAAACATGTTAAACATTAGACACACTAGACACATTAAAGTGAACAGGACCGATAAAAGTGCAAATCAATTAAGAAATGTCAATTATCGGCCGGACCTACTTCTTCGTAGCTTAATGTGTAAATTTTTATATACTTGAACAAAAGTATTTCTTCTCGACGTAAAGTGACTTTTTACACTGCGATCTCTTGAGACTCTAAGCGACGACTCGAGATACGAAAAATAGCGCGACGATTAAAGGGTTAAATACTATACCGATCTGTCGACAAGAAGACAAGAGTCCGGTTGTGAGCCAATCTAGTTGGATTCCTCCGATACTTTGCCAGGACTTGTTTGAATAGAAAACCAAAGTGTGATTATAAAAATATAGCATATGTAATAATAAAAAAATAACATTGCGCGTAATTTGTGCTTGAAAGAAAAGTTTCGAGAAGAACCGGCGATGAAATGATAAGAAAAATCGCGGCCGCAAAATTCGCCGAGAGCCGCGTGACGCGTCTCGAATTCTCCTCATCCTAATAATATCGGTTTCTCGACAAAGCAATTCCGGAAATCCCGAGTCGAATATTTTGGCTTCAGTTTAGCCTCGTATAATTTTTAAATTGAGAGCAACGAGGTCGAACGCAAGGTCTTTGCGTCGAAGAAAATATACTGAATTTTTTACCTCAGATAGACCTGAAAAGAATCGCTATTTCCCTTTTAGCAGTAAAGAGGCCAATGCGAGTGTAATCGACAGAGGTTCTTGGGTCTAAGAGGTTTCAAGGAGAGCGAAATATTTTATTACATTCTCTTTGAGGGTTAGAACGAGGTTAAACACAATTTTTTTTCCTCGTCTGAGCCTCAAATTGGAGTGTCAAGCGGACTCCGAGGTCCAAATGAAGACGGAATAGAATAATTGAGGCCCATCCCGGAACCAAATGCTCGACTCGGGACGCGTGCCGATCGCCTTGGAGAGGCGACCTTGGGCGTCGACGTAGGCTCGCGATGAGGGTCGCAGGTGTGACTTCGGGCGGCCGGGAATGCGCGCCGCGCCGTTTTCTAGGCCGCCGCCCGTCTGTTCTCGCGTCGCCCGTGACGCCGCGCGACGCTTTCCAGAGCAAACGGGCTCTTAAATGTAATTATAAAGTGGCGACGGCAGTGGTTGCACAGCGGCCGCGGGACCGTGTTTACGTTCGCTCTCCGCGCGGCCTCGCTCCCGGCGCGCTCTCCGCACGCCAGCGTAATTTAGGGACCTCCTCTCGCCGTCAATTAATTACCCTCACTCGGCGTAGTGCCACCCGGTATGGCGGCCACGCGTAATTGCGTATTAACTCCCGCAAGTGGATCGAATTAATATGCATCGCGCGCGCCGACGAGGACCGGGTCCGGTGTCGGGGAGGCGAGCGCGAGATCGAATCGAGCTTGTCGCGAGCGTGATTATTTGTTGTGAGGCTCGATGACATCGACTCCGAGTGAAAGCCGCTAACTGGCATAACTAGCTCGTCGTTGAACGTATACATGCGTGCCGTCACACGGAACCGATTCCTCCGTGTCGTTTGTCATTTAAGGTGGTTCCTGCATATAAACCGACCAAAAGTAGAAAAAATGGAAATTTAAGTACGCTGTAGTCGTAAATTTTATCTGTCGGTACGCGAAATTTCAGACCCGGTCGCCGATAAAATAAAATTAAGAAAAAATCTTAAAGTTGTATTTTTTTAACATCCCAGTAAACACCAAGTAACAGTTACATAACATCAATATTATAATTTCCTACTCGACAAGATAAATGTAATATAACACCCATGTTATATTACATTTACATTGTTAAGTGGAAAATTATAATATCGATATTATGTAAGTATTACTTGGTGTTCACTGGGATCGGGGTTATGGATCGCTCGCAGAAGCACGGAAGCTTGAGGGTTAATATTAATTATTTTAGAGAAAAAGTAAATCTTAACAAAAAACGAGAGATAAGCATAATAAATGTCACAAAGATTCAAATGTGCTATTAAGTATATGAGGTCACCGACCTCTGCAAGCAAATACTTATTAGTAAAGTCAAAAGTACAATGTTTTGAGGAAATTTGACAGTTCTTTGAGACTTGACAATATCACATATTTTTAAATGTTCTTAAATCTGCATATATAACCCAGCGTATCAATGCATTTGATCAATAATGCATTAGGTGATATAGTTTTTTTATGAAAAAAGTTGTATGAATTTATAAAAATCAAAGGAGTCTCACCAAAGCACCTACACTAACCGCTCCTTCGTGCAGAAGCCACCTTAATAAAATTAAGTTGTCCTTGAAACAACTTGCTCAATTCGTGAAGATCGCGAGAGTACTACTTTTTCCCGGTGTAATTAAATGAAAATAAAATGTTACTTAATTCGCATTGTACACGGGGAGATTTGTCTTTTCAAATTTACCCTGAAAATCGTGTAATCGTGGGACAACGTGGCATTTTGACGAATTTTATGAGTCTTTAAATTTTATCACACATTTTATATATACTAGCAATAAGTATATTTACTGGGAAAATGTATGGTAAAATTTCCAAAAACTCTCATACAATTCTTCGAACCGCCATGTTGTCCCACGATTACATGATCTTCGGGATAAATTTTGAGAGAAAATTCGTGTAGTGAAGATGACACAAAGGTGTCGAAGCGTCTACATTATAGAATATTAACGATATTAAAGATTCAACTCACGCAACAATCAATTGCGTTTTGTTCTCTCATCGCTCACATTTTTTCTTATTGCTTGAAATAAAAATACTCTTGTATTCCTCGGAAATACCCGCTAGCGGTTACAATTCCCATAGCGGAAAAAATGTCTACAAAAACCTACAAAAAAATTTATTTGAAATAGAAACTTGTAGAAATTTTTATATCTTCGTTGAAACATTAATTTTTTGTAAAAATATTTACGAAATAGTATTACGAATTACAATGTTCTCAAGAAATTATTGCAAGTAGTACTTCCTGAAAATGTACAATTTTGTAAAAATTAGTACAAAACTTTACTAGTTGTAAAAATTTGAGAAACAACAAAATCTTAAAGAATTAAAACATCTGCTTACTTGTAGAATATTACAAAAATTAACAAACGTGCTCCAACTCTAGCATTTTTATGTTGATTTTTATAACACTTTTTACATTTACGTAGAGTCTCTTAGATTCTGGCAGTTGTATTTAATTCTTTTGTACAATTTTGTAGAATTATTTCCGGCAGGGTTGTGAAAGAAAATGCAATCTTCTCGATGAAGACTTACTTCTATGGGATACTTGTCGGGCATATGGGAGGACGAGACGCCGGCCGTGCTCAGCATCATCAGGGCTAGAATCGATCTGCAACAGAGATAGAAGCGGACGTATAAATCCATTGTGTAAATACGATCGATGAGCGCAATGGTGAGAGCGCGAGCTACACTTTCGTGGCCGAAAACCGTTCGCGCCGAGCGGGGCGTTTACTCTTTTATCGTCAGTTATCGTCAGCAGCATCGGCCGTTCGCCTGCTTTCATTGAGGCAGAAATTTCAAGAATGCGATCTTAATCTTCATTGAACAACTAACGCGCGCTTTCGCAGATGCGCGATGATAATGAATTGAAGAAGCCGACGATGCCAGCGATAAACCCTATTTAATCCTTTGCGCCCCGATACATTTTTCCTCTCGCCGAAAATATATCTGATCGACAAATGAACTTGTGATAAATCTAGTAAAAACAATTGTTTACAATGTGCACAATTCAACGGAGCTCTTTTCCCCCTTTCCTCTAATTACAATATTTTGATTCTTGGATCAACGAAAAATATCTCGAGTGCAGCATCATTTGTCCTGAAAAAAAAAGTGCGATTTGCGTAATGTCTACAACACGGTTAAGATATCGCGCAGCCGAGACGGCAGAAAGCGCGTATTTCTCGTTGACAGGCCTCGGACAACATGTTGCTTCCGTTGGCGTAATCATTAATGCAGCTTGACCACGGAGATTGTAGATCCTGGCAATCGATACAGCCGATTCGCGTCGACTTATCTCGGCTCGATCGAGCTACACCATACGCACGTCCCAATTTTTCCCCACCGTGTTTATACAGCCGCGCTTTCTCGCCGCGTGCATCCTGAGATCGAGCCCGACATGCAATCTCAGCATCCGCTGCTACGCGGGATAACGATTGCGCACCGATCGCGATCCCCCGGAAACCGCATTTTTCCGCCCGGCGAATTAGCTTAGGAACGTTCGCGGATTTACAAACACACTGCGCGCGAGACGGAAGGGACAAAGAAACGTCATCGAAATCGCAATATATACCTAGTATCTAATTAACATTCAACGATAGATGGGACGTGAGATGCGTTGACTTGGGGACAAACGTTCGGTACGTATGTCAACGGAGCTACGCCTCAATTCCTTTCCTGCCAATTTAGAGAGAACGAGAAGCGAAGGCGGAGAAGCGCAGGCCTGAGTGACGTTGCCAACGAAGAAACTGCACGTACGTACAACGGCGAGGCGCGCAGATGCGCTTTTACGCGCAAGAACCGCGACCGACTTGTCGCTTCTCCACGCTTAATTATTCATAAGCGCTAAATGGCGCCCGCGAGCTGGGAAACATATACCGACAAATAGAAAATGCATACGGCGATGATAGGCCGCGGCGCGCGCAGACGAGCTCTGATGCGCGTAAGTGCCCAGCCACCGTATCATCTTCTCGCGGAAATTACTCAAAAGCGCGCGAGCTTTAAAGATGTTGGGAGGAGGCAGCGAAGCGACGCAAAACGCAGATGGCGATACCCTTTGATGCATCGAGGGCGTCGTACCGTTCTGAGTTGAATGCAGTCAAAAAGTGGCGATGAGAGTTCTTTAAGTCGAAGGAGAATCTGCCGCTTCAATGTTTGACTCGAATATCTTACAATTCTAGACGTGAAGGCGCTCTCGACGCCGAAATTAACAAAAGATTAATTACAGACGTGTATATTATTATAACGTCTCTTTGAAACGAAAACCATCCGCTCTCGAGGGATCTTTCGTTTATAGTTTTGTACGAGACAAATTCATGTACAATCCGTAATTAACCTGAATCATATATCAAATTTAATTATTTCCAACAGAGACGAATTAAAGATGACATTTGTCATACAGTGCTTAAAAATATTTTCCTGCTTCACGAGAATTTTTATCTCTCGTAAAG